ATGTAATTATTGGTTTGTAAACTTTTTTAAGCGAAGTTTTCTTCGTTTTCTAGTATTAAAATCCTATGAACCCGGGTACAACGGGTAATCTTTGTACCCGGGTAGACCTGTTGATCAACCCGGGTTACCCGACGGGTCACCCGGTTTGTACTTTTTGAGCCCGGTCGAAACACTATAAAGGTTTTCTAATTTCCCTAGTATTGTCTATAAAAAAAAGTAGTATGCATTATAATTAAAGCTTAGAAGCATGACGATAAGAAGCCATTCTAGTATCGGCTATAAAAAAAATATAGCCAACATGATATATATCAAATTTTCATTTTATGGTCAACACTAACGATACTAATTTTGTCAATCACGAATAACATTTCATGCAGATTAAATAAATTATTCAAAATAATTTTAAAAGCTTATAGAGACTTACATTATTAGTATATTGAAATAGCAAAGTATTTGTGCCAATCCCTTTAACCGCTATTGCATATTTACTGGAAACTATAAATTAAAAAATGAATTAGTTCAAAGACGTGCTTAACAAATGTGGCAAATTAAAATAAAATGAAATATGTGTCATATAAAAAAATGGCAAGCCACCGAAAAATAAAATGAGTTGTGTGCATTTTAGAGTAAAGTTTATATTAAACAAGTATATGTAGGTTTTAGAGTATGATCCGTAACAAATAATGATTTAACATACTTTCAAAAAATTAGAAGAATTTTTCTTAGAATTACAGTAGTCTAGATGTTTACGAATTCATAATTTCGTCAAACTTTTATACCATTCAACCAGTATTCAACCTGAGTTGCAAGTACTAAATCCTCTACTGATTGTTTTTGTTAAAACAATAATTTGGATTATTTGGAGGTAATATATTTAATAGGCATGACATTTTTCTTAGCATTTAATGATGATAGGTATATTATTATCTTGAAAATGCAATAATGGCTCATTCTACAATATTAGAACACTATTGCGGTTCACAAAAGAATAAAATTCTATAGCAATTTCTAAGATCATTAAATTTTCAAAAAAGCATTAATTTGGCCGTGGCACAGCTTGCACGTACGGGCTTTATTAGTTATGATTAGATTTTACTGCATATATTTCAGATTTAACTAATATCTGGAAACATGCTTCTGACAATATGCCAATTATTTCTCAAAAATACTAAATGTTCGAAAGTCATAGGTAAAAGCGATGTTCTTTTTGTTGTCATTGTATTTCCAGCATTGCTGAAAAGTCTTTCGCTTGCAGTTGATGTTGCTGGAATGGCCAAGTATTTTCGAGCTAACTTACTCAATATAGGGTATCAGTTTCGATTATTATTCCACCAAGTTAATGGGCACTGATTCCATGGAATTTCTTGTGCTCCAAGGTAATCTGAAACCTCCAATTGCGAGCTCCTATTCTGAAACATTGAGGCTAATAAAGTATTTGGATTGGTTTATAGATTGTTTTTCTCTTCTTCTGTTCTATATAAAATCTGTGCTTCTTCATATTTAGCTTTAAGCAATTCAACTGTTCTTTTTTTTAGAAATCCAGACATAAAAGAAAGAGGTTTACATCGAGGATCCAAAAGCGTTGCTAGCATGGCTTCATCGCTAGGCATATCCCAATAATGCTCCATAGCATTATATAATGCTAATTTTATTCTTGCTTCAAGATTATGACAATTTTGTAGATTATTAATACTGATTCGTTGTTGTTGATTTGATATATAGTATTCCTCATCGTCTTCACAAATAACATCATCATTAAAAACATCTCCAAAAGAATCGAAGTCAATATCTGAGGTTCTATCAAGTGAAAGCCCCTGTTTAATTATCATAATTGCACCATACATAAAACTAATAGTAGCATATTTGCTACCTCCTAATAGATCAGTAGCCTCGGCAAAAGGTCTTAGAACTGTAATTAATGATGATATTGCATCTTATTTATTATGTGTTAGATTAATTTTTTCTAAACGAAGGCCATCTTTTCGGTTTGTACTATCATTATCTAGTACTAAATTTGTTATCATTATATTAATTATATCTCAAATTTTTATAAGCCGTTGCCACGAAAGGTAAGATGAATTCCACCTTGTAGGGGTGTCTGCTATAATTCGTAATTGATTGTTATTATCTTCTAAATTCTAAAATAATTAAATAATTAATCTCTATGCTAGTAATTTATATACAAGATAAAAATACCTACTATATTTTCAAGTCGACTTAAGTTTTTTTGTACATTTATTAATCTTTCTGTTTGTTTAGGCGTGGTAAAAAACAACATAAGTCGTTTTGCATGTGCTATAAGAAGTTTTGCATCTAACAACCCTTTTTCAATAACGAGCTGCAAGGTATGGGCTGTACATGAAATCTGATTAATATTTGGCATACATCTTATAGCCTTGACCATGTTGCTTCCGTTGTCTGTAGTGATTGTAAAAACTTTATTTGTTAATCTCCACTCATCAATTATAAGGTTTAATGCTTCGCAATTGATTCCCCATCGTGTAAATAAGGTAAATATTGAATTGTAAGAACTAGCTCATTTAACTGAAAATTATTATCAATAAATGAACACGTTACTCCAAGGTATCCCATATGATCACATCCTGTTCAAAGGTCACAGGTCAAAGAACAAGATATAATGTTATCATAAAGCATTTTTTTAAGACTTTCTTTCGAATATAGAAAGCCATCCGTAAGCAATCTGCGGCAGAGTTTTTCACTAGGTAACTTATAATTCGGATCAAACTCTGCCAAAAATTCAGAAAAGCCAATTCCTTCTCGCATATTAATAGGCAATTGATCTTTGACTAACATGCTAACAAACTTTTGATCTCGCTTTGCCTTTCGTTTAGGATCATTTGCTGCTAGTCCTTGAAACATCTGATCAAGTTTTGGCTGTATAGATTGTTGTTGTTTAAGCTTTTGCTTGTGTGATTCTTCCATAATTGCATGCTGTGAAACTAAATGCCCAATAAAGTTACCTGTCGAAGTGTCTAATGATCCCATTAAATAACCACACTGATAAGTTCTATTATTCTTATTAACTTCAACTAAACAACTAACTATTCTTTTATAAGGCTGCACAGGTTTATATAATTGATAATAACTCCATATCCAACTAATTCCTGGTACCTTATTAATAGGTACAAGTTGAAGGCGTTTAAGGTCAGGTTTGGAAGGCTGATTAGCACTAAGACTCTTTTCAGATGACACGTTACTAGTTACTTGATTGTTATTATTCTCAGGAATGTTTTCTTTACTTAATGTCTTTGCTGATGTACTAGTTGTGCTTTCACTCAATTGTCTTTTTTTTTTTACAACATCTTTAGAAGCGCCTGCACGTTTTTTTGTTTGTTTTACAAAGAAATCATCACTATTAGAGTTTTCTTCTAACCCAGAATCACTATCACTAAGGTCAGTCACATTGTCTTACTCTATATGTTCCATGTTTTTTGTTTCAAAGATATCTTTTTCGTGTAAATTTTTATTTGTATTTAAGGATACTGATATATAATTAAATCATGTGGTCGACAATTCTAAAAAAAAAGATACCCATAGTATCAAATTATGATCTTAAAAAGTGTATAGTCATTATAACTTTAAAAATCATTGGAAATCATCTTAAAAAATTATTGGAAATTATAAGAAAAAGTAAATATCGATATTTATATTATAGTAATAGTGAAATCCAAATTTCTTGTATTTTTATACTTCTTGGAATTTACCACGTACATATGCTAATATAGCTAAATTCAGTAGCGATTTATTTTTAAGTTTCAGTAATACATAAACTAGCTTTATAAATTCATAAATTCTATGAATCCTGCATATTCCTATTGTAGTAATATGCATGATTTATTGAATTCACGAAAAGTTCATTTGAAAATGATATGCTTTAATTTATATCCGGATATCTGCAGTTATTCGCAGATACCCACAAATATTGACAAATATTTATGGATATCGCAGATACCTACAGATATCTGCCGGATTATCCTTTTTAAAACCAACAGATAAAGGTTATTACCCGTAAGCTATTTATAGTATCCAGATATGTGCTAACTATACAGATATCCGGATAAGCAGATAATGGTTCTGACCTCTACTAGGATGGTTTCCGAACTCTGTAGTAACTTCTGCAGGGGTGGCTTCTTCTGCAGGTAGAGGTACTTCTGTTTCTATTTGTAGAAATTCATCGAAATTAATTTCTACTGTAGTGTTTATAAGAGGGTTCAAGTCTACTGCATTTTCTGGTTCTTTCTCATCCCAAAGATAAATATTCTGAGGTGAAATGTCTAAATGTTTTTGAAATGCAGGGTCCTGTTTCCAAATTCTAAGAAAATTATTTAAAGCGATTACTGTTTCTGTTTTTAGGGATTCCATTTTTAAAGA